TATATATATATAAAAGTAATATTAGAAGACTATAAGTGAGTGCCTGGCACTGCTATTGAGAAGCTTAGATCAGGAAAAGTCATTTCTGGGTTGGGCAGGTGAAAGGAAAGTATGGAGCTTAGGAGGAAAATGGAGCTTGGCCTGAGAGAATGAATGGAATTTTCTTCTTCAGTAATTTGAACTTACTAAACAATGCATGTTTGTTGTACAAAAAGGAAAGTAATAAAATCGGCTGACATCTCGAATAGATACAGTGTATTTCAATTGCAGATAAAGGAAGAGAGGATAATAATGGAATGGAAGATACGGACCTAGGCAGAAGGGAAGCGTCTGTCAGCTGTTATGACATGCGTTTGGTTGGAGATGGGGATGACTTTGTCATCGTGGTGGTCGCTGTAGTTGAAGTGCGGCTACGGTACTACTGCTGCCTTTGGTCTTCACATCACCACCTCCACCACATATCACAGCTGATGGGCTGCCAGGGTTGTGTTTCTTTTAGAAGAACTCTTCAGTTTTATCTTCTAGGGAAAAAAAACAGTTACAGATAATGGGAGGCTTCTGATAAGGATATTTACTAGCTGCTCTGGGGTCTTGACTGATAAACAGTGTCACAGGTCTTTGTACATTTCTGGAACAAATGTAATTAGAAACACTTTGACTCAAAGTATATGTAGCTGGTAAGAAGTAAAATTGTCTTCAATTTTGGCAGTGAAAGTTGTTGATGTCTTTGTTCTCTTCTCGTTAACACGTGGTGACTACAATGATTTGTATATTTAAAACAAATGGATATGCTTACATGCTAGTTTATAAAATCTTTTAGAAACTTGGTCTTAATTCCCATTTAGCCTGTAAAAGTGGAAGAATGCATAGATATAGATATACCTAGTCTTAAGGATTTGACCTTTACTTTGCTTGGCCAATAAATTATTTAGAAAACAAACAAATGTGCTATGTTCAAGAACAAAATTTGGCAGTCAGGAGTCATCCAGAAGGATGTCTGTGCCTTGTGTCCCCAATGACTCCCAGTCACCTCTTCTATTTTTCTTCTTTCTTTTCTTACTCTTCTATCAAAACTTTACTCTTGTCCACAGGAAGCACAATTCGTTATTAACATATGCAATGTTTAAAGTGAATCAAAGATAGGGCATTTGTATTGGAAGTGTATATGAACACTAGGTGGCACTATTGTTGCATTGTGGCTTTGAGATACAGTAGGAACCCAGCTTTAAATTTGGTCATTTAAAGCTATTATTTTATTTTCCACCTTGGTTTGAATGAGAGAATAATTGACTGGAGAGATTTAATATGTGTTTTATGTGTGTGAGTACCCTTTCATGAAACGGTAAATATGTTGCATGAATATTTTCTACTAGAAAGTAAATTTTTTTATTGATTGTGATAAATCAGTATGATAATGCATTATGTTTCTATTCAGTTAATCTATATGCAACTATTTTAAGAATTTGTTTTATAGTAATTATTTTGTAGTAATTATTTGTATTTGTAATAACACTTTATTTAAAATTTTCTCGTAAGTAATTGATCATGCACAGTAATGTATACTCAGAGTTATCATAAAAATTTTGT